AGAAAATTAAATTAATCATACACCAGTGACTACGGTTATATTAAGATTCCCATATATTCAAATTTATTTCAGGGTGCAATTAATAGTGATCACAGTTTTATTCGATTATTATTCATTAAAGATGTTAATATTAAATAAGCAACAAAATATATATTATTCTTTATTGACACGTTAGCACGTTTCCCTACGAGTCCTTGGACGTTGGCATTCGAGAGACTCACGAACCAAGAGAACTTATAAATGCAGAAATACTCGAACGTTAGAATGTAGAGCAGCGTGCCGTGAGATAATAATGATTAACATGAGCAACTTGACGGTCAAGTCCACCCGAGATAAGAGTACGGATTACGCGAAGAGAGATAAAAGGGAAAATGCGATGTTCGTGCTCCCTAAGACGCTTATGTCTTTATTACCAATACGTGTGAAAAAGCGTGCTTCAGAATAGCATGTGAGCACATAATACTAGCACGTGTAGTGCACTGTAGGAAGTTTAAGGATCCTAGACGACTTACTAACCAGCTGGGTGATTCCACAGTGGCTGGAGCTTCTGGGGCACGTATTTGCCAAGCGATAGCATCGATCTTTTGTAGAGTTCCGACATTGTTTATTATATGTTAAAAATAACTAACCGGACGGATACTGGAATCGAATTCTGGATGATCTTGCGTAAAGAACGAATGAACGTGGAAATGACAAGCGGCTCAACGATCCGCACACTAAGACTGAATATCGTGAAGTGCAGCGATTGGTAACCGTGCTGCTTGTACGGGTTGTCGGTCCTTTCCCTTCCCCGCTTCGATTTCCTGAACCCTAGGAGGCGTCCCCGGTATGTGTGCGGTATCTGTTGTTCTGCGCGCGCCCTCACATTCGTACGTAATGACAGGCTATTTAAAAGGCATTGTTAAATACACATACGCATTCATTGATCGATTTTTATCTGTAATAATAATACACTACTTAATGTGAGGTTATTTAAGATCGGAAATGTCTTTGGTAAGTATCGGTTTCAATTGGTATTCAATAAGTAGGCTAACGTGTCAAACAACTTTCTACGAGTAATTATTAGAGATGTCTACGGTTGATTTAGAAAATTTGAAATTACTTAGGTTCTTTGTTATCATCTATTTTATCATTAAAGTTACGATGTATCATCTACTACGAATCGCGATATAGGATCTGTTTATAGATTAGATTAGATTACACATCCACATGTAAAATTACTTCGATTACGCTTATCTTCTTCGTTTATCCATCAAATACCACTTTTATTTGAATGAGACTAAAGTGTTCGTTATTTTTGACACTAAAATTTCAAATTACGTTTCTTTGGTATATCTATATATTACTTTTGATAAAAGTACTACTTCCAGTGAAAGATTATATACATTTGATTGTATGATATCGTTTGATATAATAAAAAATAAAAATAAAAAATAAAAATAAATCGATAATTCTAAGCGTGGCATAAATTACTTATGAACTGGAATTGTTATATGCTTAATACAAGATTCTTTACATATTACGCGAACCGTCGGCTAAAAGTTTATCGGTACTGATACTACCAATACACACAACTACACGATAACCGACATTGGCCTAGAGAATAAAATTGGACACACAGTAAAGTGCCAAGTCGTACATAGCATGATCAGAATGTTTGGGTAAATTTATTAACCACGTGTATTTGTTGTGAATCGCAATGTACATGTTCATGCAAATGTAACGCGAACTTCGGTCCGTTGTTCCTATGAGAACGAAGTAAAGAAAGGTGTATGTACATGGCTTTATTACAGTTAAAATGTTTACACTCTCTTTTGTATAACATTAAGTAAAATACATAAATCGAAAATAATACAATAAATGCTATTAAAATTGAGCTCAACGAGAGATTGCAAACGTATCTTATTTGTTGTACAAATAGTGTTGATTGGCGCACTCGTGAGCATATTAATATTGTTCACGTCTCCCGTAAATTGCACCGCAGTTATGGAGTACACATTGGTTATATGCATTCCATATATCACAATATTTATAAACACATAAATGTATTTATAACCACGTTTGATTAGATGATTACATGAATAGTAATATATGCAATATTTCGTAATATATTGTTTATAAAATAATTGCATGCATACATTATTTCACCTACATCATATTATTTTTTACATTTTTAGGTATTTGTCTCACTGGAACATTAGTAATAATTATAATAATACGAGATCGAATAAATTCAATAAAAGAAAAAAAATTGATGCATACAAAAAGAGCTATATATGAAATAATAGTTGATTTAAATGTGTCCATTAACCGTTTGAGTGCACGGATCTTTGCAAAAACTCGGTTGAAAAATGCCAAGTGGCGCAATCGAAATTCTTTTATTTTAGCTCAGAAACTGAATTACACTTTCCTATTTTCACATAAAAAAAATTGTAAATAGTGCGATTATTGCTTTTTTGCATTTCTAAACAGGCAATAAAAAAAATAAAAATAAATAATTAGAGGGAAGAAGAATAAATAAACTTCATTTGATTCTGCGAACTGATAGGCTGGCACTTTTTTAGGCAGTATACCGGAGAAGCGCGTTCACGCCACTTGGCAGTCAAACGGTTAATATACAATAATGTACAGTTACCAAAATGTTTCGAATCTTTTCAGTTTCGTGTGTTGTATACGTACTAATTGAGTAATATATATATTATCTAAACGGCACCAAATTATAAATTGATAATTAAACATAGAATTAGAATATACACATATAGCGAAAATATACCACAGTTTATGAACAAATTTTTTTCTTTAAATACGTATATGATATATTTAAGGCACATGATTAAAAATAATGGTAGGTGGTACTATTAGTTTAAAAAATAATGAAATGTAAGGATATGGAAGCTTTTAATAATTTATAAAATATTAACAAGTAATAATAGTTTTAACACCAATTGTAAATTTTGAATGTACTTAACGATACAAATTTGTTATATTAATTATATATGAAATTAAATAATTTTT